TTTTTTTTTTTTGGTTTGTTTCTTTTTATCTGTTGGTTCCTTTCACCCATTTTTCCCACCCTGCCTCTTGGAGTCAGCAGTCTTTTTGTTCTCTGAATCTATAAACTTGTTTTTTGTTTTTCTTTTAGATTCCACATATAACAGAGATGATATGGTACTTGTCTTTCTCTGTCTGACTTACCTCACTTAGTGGAATGCCTTCAAGGTCCATCCATGTCATTGAAAATGGCAAGATTTAATTCTTTTTATGGCTGAATGATATTCCACTGTATATATATATATACCACAATTTCTTTATCCATTCATCTGTCAATGGACACTTAGGTTGTTTCCGTATCTTGGCTATTGTAAATAATACTGTAGTCAACATGGGGCTGCATATATCTTTTCAAGTTAGTGTTTTCTTTTTGGATAAATACCTGGAAGCAGAATTGCTGCAATGTATGGTAGTCCTATTTTTAATTTTTGAGGAATCTCTGTGTTTTCCACGGTGGCTGCACCAATTTACAGTCCCACCAACAGTGTACAAGGGCTCCCTTTTCTCCACATCCTCTCCAACACTTGTTATCTTTTGTCATTTTAATAATAGTCATTTCTAATCTCTACCTTTTATTTTAGTATTAAGATCATTTCCTTAATGTGATTATTTATTTGGTTGGATTTAAATCTAGATCTTGCTATTTGTTTTTTGTCTTACCTGTTCTTTGTTCTCTTTTTACTCTTTTTCTACCATCTTTTGTTGGAGAGTTTATGATTCCATTTTATTTCTACCTTTGGCTTATAAATTCTACCTCTTTATTTTGTTTTGTTGTATGTGTGACAGCATTAGCATTTACAGTATACATCTTTAAATTACCACAGTCTACCTTCAAATACTATTTCATTTCATCTATATCATAAAAATCTTATAACTTCCATTCCTCTCTTCTGTCTTTTCTATTGTTGTCCTATACTTTTTTTTTTTTTTTTTAAGTAGGTTTCATGCCTAGTGCAGAGCTCAGTGCAGGGCCTGAACTCAGAATCCCGAGATCAAGACCCGAGCTGAGGTCAAGAGTTAGATGCTCAACTGACTGAACCACTCGGGCACCCCTATTATTGTCCTACACCATATTTCCACATATGCTATAAACCATAATGTATTATAAATAATCAATTTTTGTATAAATAGATTTAAAATGAGAATTAGTGTATTTTGTATTTATCCACATATTTGATATTTCCGTACCTCTTTATTCTTTATATTTATCCCAGTGCAGGTCTGTTGATAATGAATTATTTCAGCTGTCTTAGTCTGAAAAACTCTTTAATTTCCTTTTGTTTTTGGAATATTTTTTGTTTTGCTTTATATAGAATTGTAGGTTTACACTTTATATTTCAGTACTTTAAAAATCTTTCTCCATTATCTTTTGGTGTGTTTGATTTATGGTGAAAAGTCTTCTGTTATTTTTATGTCACCTCTGGATGCTTTTAAGACTTTTTTCTTTATCATTGGATTTCAAATTATATTATGATGTGTATTGGTGGTTTTCTTTTTTTCCATTTTTCTTCTTTTTGGGTTCTTTGAGCTTCTTGTATATATTCATATATTGTTTTATCAAAATTGGAAACATTTGGCCATATTTCTCCAAATATTTTTCCTGTTTCCCTCTTTCTCCTTTTTCTTAGTTTCTACATATATGTTAGACTCCTTGACATTGTTCCATGAGTTGTTTATTCTCTACTTTTTGTTTTTTTCTCTGTTTTCATTTTATTATTTTTATTTATTTTTTAAAATGTTCTTATTTTTGAGAGAGAGAGAGAGACAGACAGATAGTTTGTGAGCTGGGGAGTGGCAGAGAGAGAGAGAGAGAGACATAGAATCCAAAGCAGGCTCCAGGCTCTGAGTTGTCAGCACAGAGCCTGATGCAGGGCTTGAAATCTACAAGCCATGAGATCATGACCTGAGCCAAAGTTGGATGCTTTATAGACTGAGCCACTCAGGCTCCCCAGTTGTTTTCATTTTAAATTGCAATGTCTTTCTTAATGTTCCCTGATCTTTTCTTCTGCTAGTGTCTGATGTCTATTAATACCATGTAGTATATTTTTCATTTTGGTTATTGTGCATCTCTATAAATTCCCTTTTATATTTTCTATTTCTGTCCTCATTTTGCTTATACATTACCTTGTTGAAAATATGGGTTATGTTTATAATAGGCTATGTAACATCCTTTTCTGCTAATTCTATCATTTGTATTATTTTAGGGTCTGTTTCTGTTTATCTGTTTTTCTTCTGGTTGTAGATAATATTTTCCTGCTTCTTTGTATGCCTGATAATTTTTTACTGAAATGCAGACATTTTGAATTTTACATTGTTGGGTGCTGGATTTTGCTGTATTTTAAAATACATATTCCATGATGCAGTTATGTTCCTTGAAATCACGTGGATCCCTCTGGGGCTTGCTTGTAAGTTATGTTAACAGGTCCAGGGCAGCCTTTAGTCTGGGGCTAATTTGGTCCTACTACTAAGGCAATACCCTTATGAGGACTCTACTTGATGTCCCATGTATTATGGAGCCTTTCCCACTCAGGTTGTTTGGAAGATGAACTAGCCCTGGGTAAGCTCTGAGGTGCTGATCTAGTTACTCCTTTATGGTGATTTATTCCTTGGTTTTAGTAGTTTCTTCACATGCATGCCCTGATTATTACTTAGCCAAATCTTTTTTTTAATATTTCTTTTATTGAGAGAGAGAAAGGGAAAGAGAGAGAGCAAGGGAGGGGCACAGAGAGAGGGAGACCCAGAATCCAAAGCAGGCTCCAGGCTCCGAGCTGTCAGCACAGAGTCTGTGCTGATCTCACAAACCATGAGATCATGACCTGAGCCAAAGCTGGATGCTTAACTGACTGAGCCACCCAGGCGCCCCTACTGAGCCAAAATCTTTAGGGCACTCTCTGCAGATGGCCAGAATGCATTCTTTCTCCTGTTTTCTCTCTCTGTCATCCCTCCCCACCCCCTCTGCTTCTATGCAGCAACCTCTTCATCAATATTTTGCCCTACAAATTGTAGTTACCTAGGCCTTGGTGAACTCTGAACTCAGTTTCAAGGATTTTTTCCCTCTGCCTTTCCCCTTAACCCAGGTCTCGCCTTGAACTTAATTTACATCCTGTTATGGGAGTCTGAGATCCCATCACAGAAGTAGTCCTTCTCCAACTGCCTAATGCTTAGTTATTATAGGGATCTGGGGTTGCTTGATATTGTCTATAGGCTTCACTGAAGCTTCAGGAATGTGCTGGCATTACTAGCTTGACTGCAGTCAGCAGGGTTAAAAGAACAAATGGTCTGAAGTCACTGAGGGATTGAAACTATCAGATGACAGGAAGTAATTTACTTCTGGCTTTGGAACCCAGTACTGGATTTATTTTTCTGTCCTATTGATTTTCCTAGTTCGGTTTTACATGGATTGATGATGGATAGTGGAGGTGGGGGTGAACAAGGGAGCCAGCTCAAACGTAGGATTTTTCACAGGAAACCTTCCAAGTGAGTAATCCACTCACAGAAGATTGTGCATAAACAATATAGTACAGCTTGGCCTCTGTATATGTATTATTAAGTTCTTAGGAAGACCTGTCATTGCCACAGGCTGTAAAAATTCACTTTCAACCAATTTCCTGCCTAGGATTAAGTGGCTGCAGGATGGAAGTCAAATCCTCTTTGGAAAAGTACGTAATGATTTTGTCTACGTCCTCATTGATACATCTCACTCAATGAAGAGCAAACTGGACTTGGTGAAGGACAAGATCATCCAGTTTATACAGGTTAGATGGAACTGTCAGGTTCATGGATTTGGGGGGCCTTTGTGTCATGAATGCTTCTTTAGCAGCCTTCATCTGCATTGGTTCTGCAAGGTGCACAGGTAAGGTCTGCACTCAGGCATCCACAGGGAAGCCACTTCAGATAAAAGCTCTCTTTTGCCAGTTAGAGATTCATCAGTTCTCCTTTGCAAGCAGACCCTTCCCGTGGCAGGGTCTTCTGTAACAGGTGGGATGCTAAGGGAGTTTCAGTGTCTATCGCTCCAGGTTTTCTCTATCCTGAAATCTGTGGTGTGCCCACATCTCCATCGTTTTCCAGATGCTCTTTGGCTTGGCATTTTTATTTTAATTTCCAGTGTTTATTAGGGGTGTTGCATGCATTGGCACCAGAACTGATGTATGGGAGGAGTGTAGGCTGATGGTTAGGAGCTTCCAATTCTTATTCTACCTGTGCTGTGACCCAAGGCAGACTGCTCTGAGTTGTGTGACCCAAGGCAGACTGCTTCCACTTCCTAACTCCTAGAATGGATATAGCGGTACTGTCACAAATGAGTAGTATTGATGTATTACCACAGAAAATAATTGGGGGGAGTGTTCACAAATACAAAATACAGGTTTTATTTCGATAAACCTCTACTGGAGAAATGTGGGTTGGTGGAAGGCAAATAAAAAGGTATGTAACCAAATGCTAGCCTTAACAAAAAGATGATGGCCAAAATGATGATGGCATTTGGGATTTCTTTTCTTTAAGCAGATTGCATTTAGTTTGTGTATGCAGTATACCATTAATGTCAGTATTAAAGACAACATTTAAGGTCATATTATATATAAAAACACACACACATATATATGTGTGTGTAAAAGCGTAAAAGCGTAATATCCAAACTGTGTATAAATTTTGTTTAAATATTTTCTGAAAAGATTTTCTCTTTTGAATGTAATTTTTAGCTTCAAGATCTGAAAAGAGATTTCATAGTGATTAAAATTTATCAAACTGTGACCTAGCCTAACCTTTTCTTACATCTGAGTGGTGTTTTGGTTAAATAATAATTTTCTCTTACAGGAGCAGCTGAAATATAAAAGGAAATTCAATTTTGTACAGTTTGATGCTCAAGCAGTTGCTTGGCGGGAAAAACTTGTTGAAATCAATGAAGATAGTTTGAAAGGGGCTCAGTCCTGGATTAGAAATATCAAGGTAAGAAAGATGGAGACTGTGTCTGGGAGAAGAAGCCTGACTTGATCACCTGCTGAGTTAATTCATGCCATGGAAATTCTTGAGAAAAGGGTTCTGAGCCCTGAGACAGCAGGGTTTTCACACAGACACTCATTTTGTGTACAATGGTCACATGAATCCAAGCTCATGAGTCACTGTCTTAACATTTAGATAAGCTTCTGTTCACAGCACACCATTTTCAGATATGCCCTTGGCTCTGATCTCACCCCTTTATGAAGACAAATGTCAAAATTTAATTTTTTTTGTACTCAGACATTCAGATTTGATCCTCCTGAAACCTCATTATTGTTTCAAATGATATATTGCAGCTATTTTTAACAGTTGACTTTGTTCAAAAGTAATGAACTGGTGGGTGGAAGCACACAGTACAGTGTGACTGGTTAAGACTGAAAGCAAGGAGGGAGAGAGTGGCGGAGGCTACAGTGAGAAAGGGAAATCATTTCTTCAGGACTGCCTTTCATTGGAGAACTGCTCTTGGCACTTAGACTACTGGGAAGGAATTTCCTTTCCTTGAATTTTCTCTTATCATGAACTTACCTTCCTTTTTAAAAAAGGTCTTTTTCCAGAACCGCAAGCATTCCAGATAGTTGAGATACACTAAAATTGAAACTAAGGGCTCTTCTCAAAAAGTGAAATGTAGATCATAAACATCTTTAAATAGTTCAGTGCCTGAGTGTCCCAGATTTGACAGGAAGCCACAAATGGACATTAGCAGAGCTCCTTGAATATCGGGACATACCAGATATGCTGTCATTGGGATATACCAGAGTTCCGTTAGGATTGATTCTTTAAAAATGGGAGAAGGAAGAAATATGTTCTGTAAGAAATTATGATGCCTTAAGATCTTGATCTAACTGGCTATCTTATGCTGGGAAAGAATATTCAATTCACACCCAACTTGATAAATTTCCAGGATTAGCCAGTGAAGTTACTTGGGATACATGTTCCCTCCTTTTATGGACTATAGGTGATTGTTAACTCAGAGCCCATTTATTTAGAGTTGGTCATAACAGATATCATATATGCAGTCTCATTAGATTAAAACACTAACAGGTGCTGCTTTTTATAGAAATCACTAATGAATAGAACCAACTATCTGAATGGCTAAAAATATAACTAAAATAATTATTTGTAAAGTATAATTCTGTTATCTTCAAAAATCTTCATCGAGGCTCCCTTGCTTGCTGAATGTGCAAAATTTATTTTCGGGAAAACCATTTCTCTATATTCTTTTGACTGGTCGGCTCAGGAATCAACCCAATAAATTCAGGATACCACTAGAGCTTCTGAAACTGCCTTGTGCTGGTGTTGGAGCAGTAGTTCCCCAAACAGGCCTAACCAGTCCTGAGGTCAGAGGAGCATAAACTGGGGCTGAGTCTGCCCAGTAGTTCGGGGTGGGGGTCTGGCCCAAGGCTGGGGGAAGCAAGGAGGGAGCAGGTGCAGAAGAGGCACCAACTTCTGACCATCTTTCCCATGATTCCCAGTCTGGCTTTCTCCTAGCTTTTCTACCATCTTTGCAACAATCCCTGAACAGTGGGATTGTCAACAAGACTATTGAGATAGGGCCTAGAGAGAAGAGTTGTACTGTTTACCATCTGAGCTATATTTCTGCTGCCCAAATGTTGAAGCAGTTTTTTGGTGTTTTTTTTTTTTAACTTTTTAATTTGAAATCATTTTGGACTTATGAAAGAGTTGCACAGATAGTACAGAGGGTGCCTGTAATACCCTTTAGTTAGTTTCCCCTAATGTTAACATCTGACGTAAACATAGTTTAATTGTCAAAACTAAGAAAATCACAGGGGTGCCTGGCTGGCTGAGTTGGTAGAGTATGTGACTCTTGACCTTGGGGTCCTGAGTTTGAGCCCCCGTTAGGCTTAGAGCCATTTTTTTAATGTTTATTTATTTATTTTTGAGAGAGAGAGAGCACAAGCAAGGGAGGGGCAGAGAAACAGGTAGACACAGAATCCAAAGCAGGCTGCAGGCTCTAAGTTGTGAACTATGCTGACAACTTAGAGCCTGACACGGGGCTCAAACCCATGAACCACGAGATCATGACCTGAGCCAAAGTCAGACCCTCAACCAACTGAGCCACCCAGGTGTCCTGACTTAGAGCCTACTTAAAGTAAATAAATACAGAAAGAAAGAAAGAAAGAAAATCTATTTAAAGCAAAACAAAACCAAAAACTAAGAAAATGACAATGCCATTATTAACTATATTACAGACTTCATTCAGGGTTCATTAGTCTTTCTACTGGTATTCCTGTTCTGTTCCAAGATCCAATCCAGGGTCCCATATTGCATTTATTTCTTAAAAGTTTTATTTATTTATTTATTATTGAAATATAGTTGACATACAGTTTTATATTAGTTTCAGGTGTAAAATATAGTGATTTGACAATTCTCTACATTACTCAGTGTTCCACACAATAAGAATAGTCACCATCTGTCACCATACAATACCATTACAGTATTATTGACTATATTCCCTCTGCTGTGTTTTTCATCCCCATGACTTAATTATTTGATACCTGATAGTTTGTACTTCTTAATCCTGTTCACCTGTTTCACCTGTGCCCCCACATTACGGTTATAGTTGCAGTGTCTTCTCAGTCTCTTCCAGTCTGTAACACATCCTCAGTGATGCTTTGTCTTTCATGACCTTTTGATCATGTGTTTTGCAGAATGTCCTTCAATCTGGTTTCATCTGATGTTTTCTGATGGTTAGATTGGGGTTAGAATACTGCAGAGGTGATGTGTCCTTCTCAGTGCATCATGTTGAGCAGTACATTGTGGTGATACACCTTACTACTAGTGGTGTTAACTTTGATCTCTTGGGTAAGGTGGCATCTGATAGGTTTCTCCCCTGCAAAACTACTTTTTTTTTCTTTTTATAGATAATACATGTTTTGGAGGAGATAACTTTGAGGCTATGCACATATCCTTTGTGTCTTGAACTTCTACCCACTAATTTTAGCACTCAGTGGTGGATCTTCTCTATAGCACGTATTAATGTGCTGTTCTAATGGTGACTTTCTATTCCCTCTATTCCTTTTACATTTATGTGTTGGAATTCTGTAATGAAGAACTTCCCCTTTCCCCCTCTTATTTATTCATTCAATCATATATTTATTTCATTATGGACCCATGGATATTTATTTACTGTTTCAGTAATAATTCAATACTATTGTTATTTATTTTGTTACCAAGCTTGTTCCCACTCTGGCCATTGGGAACTCTTTCAGGTTGCCCCCTGTGTTCTTCACATATGCATCTATCTTTTTTTTTTCCTTGAATACTTGTTTATTTTCTGGCACTATAGATATTTCATGATCATCTTATATTTTCCCACCTCAGTCCTGGAGTTTACCACTTCTCCAAGGAACCCTTGTTTCTTTTATTAGACAGTGGTATTTGAAAACCAAAATCTGGGCACTTAGGTATGCTTATTGCTGCTACTGGACTCACTGCTTCTAGGCTCTCTCAGTGGACAGAGATGGGAAATATATGTATAATAGCCCATCAATCCATAAACGTCTATATTCCTGTATCTATTTATCTATATTTTCATTAAAAAAGGAAAATAAGGGACGCCTGTGTGGCTTAGTTGGTTAAGCATCTGACTCTTGATATTGGCCAAGGTCATGATCTAATGGTCATGGGATTGAACCCTGTGTTGGGCTCCATGCTGAGTGTGGAGCCTACTTGGAATTCTCTCTCTCCCTTTTTCTCTGTCCTTCCCCCGCTCACACACATTCTTGTACACGTACTCTTTCTCTCAAAAGTAAATATATAAATGTAAAAAGATAAATAAAACCATGAGTTCATGCTAATAACTCTACTCCAATTCAGAGCCTCAGAAATTATTTGTAAAGAACGTATTTGCTTATTTTTAACTTCTTTGACCACGAAAAACCTGGTTTTCGTTATCTGTAATGAGTTAGTTATTTGTTAAACCCTGGTATACATAAAGTTTCAGAATTTCTAACCCATACTCTGAGAAAAACACTTATCAGCTGGGGTACAGTGTTTACACATAGTTCTTTCTCTCTTTAGCGTTACACTATCCAGGCAAAAAACTGTTTCCTAAAGTTCTTAAAGTCAGGTACTTTTTTACTCAACTACCTCAGTGTGATTATATCATTCATTATTAATATGTCGACTTCCTCCCTCATCCTAATTGAATTATATTTTAATTTGCACACAGCAAAAGCACTCTTTTTGGTGTATAGATCTATGGATTTTGACAAATGTAGAGAGTCATGTATTTACACCTTTCTGACTGAAGGACTGGTGAAAGGTAGGCCCACCAAAGATCTAGTGGGACTCCCCAAACTCCACAACCCAGACCCTGACACGTAGTCTAGTTCATTGGAAGCAGTGGCAAGAGTAAAGCCATGACTGTCTCAGTCCCTGCCTTACAACTCAGATCCTGTCAAGTGGTCCGGTCTTCCAGCAGGAGCAAGAGCAGCAGAAATCCAGCTGCCCAGTTGCACAACCCAAGTCTGGCAGGCAGTCTGATCCACCAGAAACAATGGCAGCAGTAAAGTCCTCAGCCACCCCAGCTTCTATGTCACAACATTGTGGCATGTATGAGCAGTCTGATCTTTGGCAGCAGTGACAGCAGCAATATCCAGACTGTCTTAGAGTGTACTCCACACGTGGGGTACTGGCAGGGGGTCCCATACAACTGCTGCAGTGGCAGCAGCAAAGTCCTGGGCATTTCTAAAACCAGGTCACCTGTAGATGGTGTGACCAGCCAACAACAGCAGAGTCCCTGACTGTCCCAGCTTCACAACTGGGGCACCAATGAGAAGTCTAATCTTCCAACAACAGCAAAGGTGAATAAAGCCTTGTGTCTTCTTGCTCTCAATTCAGTGGCATAAGTAGAGCCAGGTTCAGCAGCTTCTGCTCCTATACCCCAGAAGGTCACCTAGCACCAATAGGCAGCCCCAAAACATGGC